CGCTGCTTTACTGTGGAAAATTCCCCCCCTCTTCCTCCGGAACCTGGGGGTCCCCTCCGAAAATCCCCCCATCCCCTGCTCGAACTCCCCCTCCTCCCCCGCCCTTCTCCCGGCAAAACCCCACCCCTATCCTCTCCCCCCCCTCTTCTCCGGAAAACCGGGGGGAGGTCACTACCAGTTCGAACCCCGCTCCCCCTCCCCCGTCCAGAAAACCGGGAAGGGGGGCCACCACCGGTTCAAACTCCCCCCCCCCTCTCGCCGCCAGCAAAAGACTCCCGGGTCCACACCACCCTCCTCACCACCGCCCTCACCACTGCCCCAAGCACCACCGTCCCCACCACTGTCCCACTGTCCCCACTGTTCCCACCACTGTCCCCACTGCCCCCTCCAATGCCCCCACCACCATCGCATTGTCCCGACTATCCCCGCCACTGTCCTCACCACGGTCGCACTCTCCCCACTGTCCCCACTGTCGCCACCACTGTCCATCTGTCCCCATTGTCCCCACCACTGTCCCACTGTCCCCACTATCCCAGCCGCTGTTCCACTGAGCTGTCCCACTGTTCCCAGCACTGTCCCACTGTCCCCACCACTTCTCACTGTACCACTGTCCCATTGTCCCACCACCGTCCTCACCACCGCTCTCACCAGTGTCCCCACCACCACCGTCCCCACCACTGTCCCACTGTCCCCACCACTGTCCCACTGTCCCCTCACCACTGTCCCCAACACCACCGTCCCCACCACTGTCCCAGTGTCCCCACTGTCCCCACTACTGTCCCACTGTCCCCACTGTTCCCATCACTGTCCCCACTTTCTCCACCAGTGCCCCTACCACTGTCGCACTGTCCGCACTGTCCCCACCACGATCCCACTCTCCCCACTGTCCCAACTGTCCCCACCACTGTCCCACTGTCCCTACTGTCCCCGCCACTGTCCCACTCTTCCCACTGTCCCCACCGCTGTCCCACTGTGCTACCCCACTGTCCACACTGTCCCCACCACTGTCCCACTGTCCCCTCTGTCCCCACCACTCTCCCCACTGTGCCACTGTCCCACCATCGTCCTCACCACCGCCCTCACCACTGTCCGCACCACCACCGTCCCAGCCACTGTCCACCACCGTCCCCACCACCACCGTCCCCTTCAATGTCCCACTGCTGTTCCCACCACCAACGTCCCCTTCACTGTCCAAATGTCCCCATTATCCCCACCACTGTCCCACTGTCCCCAGTCCCCACCACTGTCCCCACTGTCCTCGCCAGTGCCCCCACCACTGTCGCACTGCCCCCACTGTTCCCACCACTGTCCCCACCACGGTCCCACTCTTCCCGCTGTCCCCACTCCCACCACCATCCCCACCACAGTCCCAACCACTGTCCCCACCAGTCCCCGATCCAGAGTGGGAGAGGAGGGGGAGTCGTTGTGGCAAGAGGGGAGGGGGGGGGAGGGGGTGGGGGTTCGAACCGGTAGTGACCCCCCCGGTTTTCCAGGAGGGGGGGGAGGGGTTCGAACTGGTAGTGACCTACCCCCCCCTTTTCATGATGGACCAGGGGGGGGAAGGGGGGGTTGGAACCCCCAGTGACCCCCGCCGGTTTTCGAGAGGGGGGGGGGACGGGTTGGAAACCCCCAGTGCCCCCCCCCCCCCTCCCCGCTTTCTGCCAGCAACGGTAGAACACGCTCTTTCTCATCGTCCGTCATATCATATCCGTCCCCGCCCACTCTCCAGCTCCCACTCGAAGGTGAGGGTGGAATCGGGTTGGGCCCCTCTCGGAGGGGGAGAAGAGGACAGGCCAGCTCGGAACTATTAGCAAAGAGGGGGTTGGGGCTCCCTCGACTGGGATTCGGGGCAACCCTCGGGGGGACCAGGACCAGAACCAGAATCGCCTGAAGTCAGCAACGTCAGGCCGGATTCGCAAAACCGAACCCGCGAATCTCGGCGAATCTTCTGCGGTAACTCACGGAAGCCTCCCGCGCCATCTTGCTGTCTCTTGCGAAGCGACGCCAAGCGACGCTGATCGAAACGAAGCGACGCTGAATCTAAACAGGGCGACGCTCTCACATCGGTGAACAGACGCTGGCGCACGCGAACGCACTCCAAAGTCTGAATTTCGAGGACATGCAAGAATTCCATGAAACAACGCGACAGCTTCCGTGAGGCAGCACCAGGGCCTGGAGCAAAGGAGAGGAGGAGGAGGAGGAGGAGGAGGAGGAGGAGGAGGAGGAGGAGGAGGAGGAGGAGGAGGAGGAGGGAGGAGGAGGAGGAGGAGGAGGAGGAGAAGGGAGAAGCGGCCCCCATCCGGAAAGCCTCGTCACGAGACCCGGCCCCAGTCTCTCCACCTCTCCACGGAGCTTCACCGGTGCGCGCACGCCGCCACACCCGCCCAGCACGCTGGCATGGGTGAAACGCCGCCTCCTCCTCCTCCTCCTCCTCCTCCTCCTCCTCCTCCTCCTCCTCCTCCTCCTCCCTCTCCTCCTCCTCCTCCTCCTCCTCCTCCTCCTCCTCCTCCTCCTCCTCCTCCTCCTCCTCCTCTGCTCGGGCGCTGGCAGAACTGGGTTTAGCGGGACCTGGTTTGATGATGTGCACTGGGGGTTGCCCCCCCGCCCCGTTCCACTGACCGGAACTGTCGCGTCACCCGAAAAAAACAGCTGCGGCAAACGGCAAACCTGGTCCAGCGATTCTGGCCCATTTAGGGGCTCCGGGGCCCTACCACTAACCGGGTCTCCTGACCTGGGGTCCTGGCTATACCCGAGTTGTCCCGGGCCAAACCACCAGTGAGCACAAGCGCCAGCCCCCGCGAGCCGCCGAGGCATTACCAGCCTGGAACATATCCCTCTCCCTATGCTGGGCATCTCCTCATCACGATGCCAACCTTAGGGGTTCCCTTATTTTTTGAGGGCGCATCCCTAAGATAGTCATCGCTTTTTGGCATGTCGACCTCAGGGATAGGGATATGTTCGAGGCTGGTAAAGGCAGGCACGCGGCACGCGCCGCACTGGAGCCCACATGGGCCCGAAGGTGGCCGGAAGGCTCCGTGGGGTCCCAGCGGCGGGCCGCCGCGCACGGTCCCGGGGGCGACCTCCCGGGCGCGAGAGGAACCGCCGGCTTCCCAACGCAGCCAGGGCTGACGCGCGGGTCCCCTCCTCCTCCTCCTCCTCCTCCTCCTCCTCCTCCTCCTCCTCCTCGTCCTCCTCCTCCTCCTCCTCCTCCTCCTCCTCCGGCTGATGCCCAATCAAGGCTGCACGGCTTGGGCCCAAGGCAACGGATACGAGGAGAAGCGGGGGAATGGGAAGGTGTGGTGTCAGGGGGGGCGTGTGTGGGCAACTGCATTCCCAAACGCCCCGATGCACCGAGTCGGTGAAATAAATGTGAATGCATGCCTCGAGGAAGCCAGGACGCTTCAGTGCAAGTGCATGCCCCGGGGAAGCCCAGACACTTTAGTGCAAGCGATTTCCCCCTGCAACAGCACCTCTTCTCCACGGAAACAGATTTAGAACACTCTGGCTTCACGATGGGGATGTCGGCTCCTTGCCAACCCCGTCACCTCGAGATCGAACGCGGCGAGTGGGTAACTGGACCCCACGCCCCGCAAGCCGTAACCAGCAAAGCGAGGGTAAGCATGAGTTGCTATCGAAGGAATCGAGATGGAATGAAAATCTGAGCGGAGCCACAATCGGAAAGCGGGAATCGGATCGGATCGGGGCCGGGCCTGCTGTGAAGCGCGAGCCCGTCGAGGTAGTGCAGTCTGTGCAGGACGCTTACCACCACTCCCTGCCAGAAGGTGAAGAACAGGAGTATCTTTATGGACAAGATCTTCTTGATCGGGCTTAGCGGTGCTAGTCTCGCCTGGTTGGCATGGTAGAACAGCACTAAGCCGTACATCGCTATGAACAGCATGACGTTGACCACGGATATGAAGGGCCAATGCAGGACCTTGAACAGTGGAAAGTACACTAAACTCGATACCAGGACCACTACCGCGACGGTCAGCGTGACTGGCACATACAGCAGCACAGCCCCAACCGTCCTCCTCACGAAGCGCTTCTGGGGCGTCCAGGACCACTCCGGCACGAACCACCTCACCGGGATCACGTGTCTGCAGCTGTCGAGGCTCAGCTCGCTCGTGAGGCGCCCGACGCCGCCCAGGTGGGCCACGAGCAACTGCATGAAGGCGCAGATCGCGATGCTGGAAGAAGGGACAACTGTATTAACAGAATTGAACTGGTGGAGTTCTGCGCCGATTCTTGGATCGGCGCCGGAGGCGCCGCCAGGGCGGTCCGGCGCAGATCCGAGAAGTCGGCGCGGAGCCTGTGTATACGGCTTCTCTCCTTCGAGATGCATTCGTAGCCCTTCTTCAGGAAGTCCAGGACGGTGTTGAACGCCCTGAGGCGCTCGACTAGCGACACCCAGGCCACGACGCTGAACAGTGGCACTATGAGCAGGATGCGGATCACCTTGCCGTGAACCCGAGGGGCCGTCAGGGAAAGAGGCACTCGGCGGCCGGGATTCCCCAGAGGCCCTGCAGCCTTCCCGGGAGCCTTGCGGCTCGCCACCTCCACTGAGACCTTCCAGGAAGGCTCCACGGCCAGGACACCCGTCCCTTGGGGGTGCCAAAGCTGTGTGGTGACCGACCGCACGGTGACCTCAGAAGCCCGAGAGACCTCACCGCGCGGTCCGTCACCGCACGGTCTTGGGACCTCGGAGACCCTGGTCGCCCGAGACGTCCTCGGAGAACGACCCGAGTCGCAAACCCGTGCGCTGACCCCGAATCCCCACTGACTCACCACGCGGTGTGGTCACCGCGCCGTTTGGGGGCCCCCGACTCCCTCCAAAGTCTTCAGAGGCTCGCCAGAGGTTCAGCAATAGGTCGGAGGCTTCTGGAGGTCCCCGGAGGCCAAAGGTTCGAGTAGGAGATCGACGACAGAATTCATTTGCCACAAACTTGACTTCTTCGCAGAATCTACGAAACATACGTAGAAAGTTCGCAGGTCTACGAACCTTCTACTTCTGTGTTCGCAGAGTATGCGAACTTATGTTCTCGCAGATTATGCGAACACGTCAAGTTTGGGGTGCATGAATTCTGTAGTCCACCTCCTCCTCGAAAAGGTGGGCCAAGCGAAGCGTGTCCATGCAGAAGCCCTGGTCCCCAGGCAAGGATCGGGGAGACGTAAGACCCGGGTACGGGGGACTCGGAAATCCCTGACGAGGTCGTCAACAAAAATGACGAGGCCGAGCCTGCATTTTGACGAGGCCTCCCGCTGCAGACATCCCACAAAACTCCTCCTCGTCAAAATCCGAGTCGCGGTCGTCAAAAAACGATGGCGAACCCGAGTCCTGGCAAACCCGGGTCTTGCGCTCCCCCGAAAGGAGGCCCCTCCCCTCAGGACCCACCCTCTTGGCCCCTGGCGGGTCGCCGCCACCCGGATCTCGCGCCTCCCCTCTGCGCGCAGGTGCCTCCGCACCAGGAGCAGCGTGCTCCCGCAGGCCTGGAGGGTGGGCGAGAGGCGGCTGCAAGGCCATCGGCGGCGAGCGAGGGGGGGGGGGGGAACCGAGGAGGGGCGGGCCTTCTCAGAAGGCTCGAAAGTCCCCCGGCCTCCTGAGAAGTCTCCTGGGCCTCCCCCGATGCCGCGGGAGGCCTCCCGGGGAGGCGCGAGGGCTCCCGAGGAGCCCTGCTGCCTTCTGGGCTGAGGAGGCCGTCTCCTTCACACTCCCCCCCCCCCCTCGCTCGCCGCCGAGGCTCGGGGGGTGGGACGTCGACCTGGGCGGCGACGAAAATGACCCGAGACGAACCCAACCATTTCTTTACAGTCATCGGCCTGACCTAAGGAACGATAAATAAGGAACGAAGCCCCTTTTTTTATCCCAAGGAATAACGCATAAGGAACGATAAATAACACATAACGCACAAGGAACTGTAAATAACGCATGCAAGCCGAAGGAACGACCGAGCCCCTTTTGAACAGTAAGTGTTCCTTATTCAAGCCGCTCGCTGCATGTTGCTCCCATCGTATGTACGGACCACATCCCGGGACAAATTTCGAGCACCCGGTCGAAAGAGCGTCGGAGCAGCGTCGGCCGAGTGCCTCCTGGGGCCCGACGCGCGAAGACCCTCGCGTGTCGGCACCGCTCTGGTGCTCGAGCTTCCCTTCTGGCGATCAGGGCCAGAGCAGGCTGGAACAGCACCACCCCTTCTCCACTCGGGAGCGGCCAAGAGGGGGGTATCCAAGAGGGGGGGTGCAAATCATGACCGGCGGCATGTGCGCGGCCCAGCGGGGGGGGCAGGGACGTAATGGAATGAGAAGAGGCGCCATGAAATCTGGGGAAACATCATGGCCCACGCCATGACATCCCTCCCCCTAGTCATCACCCCCCTCTTTGCCGCCCCCGATCCACGCGCGGCGACTATCAAAAGGAGTGCTCAACGTGCGCAGTGACCGCCTCTGCAGGCACGCTCAACCGGGACGCCGATCTGCGCCAGCAAGCCGTCGCAGCGGTGCTGACGTCGGGGGGGGGGGCGTCGACCTGAGCGACGACAGAACAATGTTTGTTTCCTAAGGAGTTCTCTGGTGGCTCGCGGGTTCCCTGGACCGCCGACAGTGAGCGATCTACACGCTTCCCGCGGCAGCTGGCCCATGCCAGAAGCCGAGCGGCGGCGGAGGCCACGAGAAGGCGCGAGGCGGCGGCTATCAGACGACAGAACGTGGATCCTACGCAAGATGGCACAGCGACCTTGCGCCACGGGTCACGCGGGACGCCAGCGCGGCACGCTGCACTGGAAGCGAGGGCGTTCACGCGTGACCTCACGCGGGCAGCTCGCGCGCCAGTGCAAGCGAAGACGAACCCGTTTCCTTCCGTCGCCTTCCTCTGGAAGAACAGGCGGCATAAAGCTCCGCGCAGATCTCCTGGATCGGCTCGGCGCCGATCCGAGCAGATCGCGCGGGACCCCGACAGCTGCGTTCGTGCAGCTCATCGCACTCGATCAGGGAAGGCCAGCCTCGAATCGGCGGCAGGTCGCCGATGGATCGGCGACAGGCACCCCGGAGGGCGGCGCATCCAAGCCCCGATCGGCGTTGCACAGGTGCTTGGGTGCCGATGCTTTCCTGGAGAGGAAGCGAACGGGGACCATGACCAAAACTGAACGCGAAAGCGTCGTGTCAATCTTGGCCACCGTCCATCTTGGTCGGCGTTAAATCGTGGATCATCCTCGAGAATGGGCCACGGCCAACATGAACCATGACCAAGATGGGCATCGCCGGGATCTCGCCAAATCTTGGTCATGGTCCCCATGTTTCTTGCCTCGATCATCGGCTCTTGCGAATCGACGCTCGTCGACGCTAAATCGACTCGACGCTGATCGGCGATACATCGACGCTAACCGACGCTAAATCGGCGCTATCTCATCCACTCCCAGACGCTAACCGACGTCAGTCGGCGATACAGGCAGAATTGCCAGGCTGGTCGACGCTAATCGACGCTAGTCGACGCTAATCGACGCTAGTCGACGCTAATCGACGCAAGTCGACCAGGCCCCCATGATTTGCTAACGAGCCCCACCAGTGGTCTGAGGAGCTCGCCTCCATGGCAGGTCCCTGGAAGACCGCCCCCCCCCCCCCCCCCGGCGAGGTCCGCGGAGGTCTCCGAAGGCTGCCCCGGAGGCATCTGGAGGCCCCCAGAGGCACACAAAGGCGCGCAGACGAGCCTCCTTCCTCGACTCTCGATCTTCGACCATCGATGCCCCTCGACCCTCATTGGCCCCTCAATCCGCGAGCCTGGAGCCTCGATCCTAGGTCCTGGACCCTCAGTGACCCCTCGACCCTCGATCCTGCCTGGACCCTCGACCCTGGATTCTCGATCCTGCCTGGACCTTCGATCCTGGACCCTCGATCCTGGACCCCTCGATCCCCCCCCCCTTCGCCCCCCCCCCGGAGGGCCACGAGCGTACAGGCGCCCGTCACGGCGAGCGCCACGTTGTGCCGCCACCGCCACTCCTGTGGGGGGTGGGAGCAGAACAGGTGGCACATCGTCCGGCCACCGTGATGCGGCGGGGGCATTGGATAAGGAACTCTTAGATAATGAAGCCGGGGTCTGGAAGCCAGTGGAACTCCCATCGTGCATCGGCCACGGATATCACCAACGCCCTCCTTGGATAAGGAATCCTCCAGGGTCTGGCGCCTCCTGGGACTACAGTCAACGCGCCTAGTAAGGACGCGCGCCTTCATCTAGGGTACCCTTGTGTCCTTGCCTCTGAGGCTCGTCCTTGCCATTATCACTGGTCGCCCGCGGCCCTAAAAAACCGAACTTCGGCCTCCAAGGGTCTTGCGTCCATATCACCCGTCCTTAATATACGTTTTGACTGTATTCCTTAACAAACGCCTCCACCGGACCACAAGGAACGCCGAGGGAGGGACGAGCGAACTGTTCGGGCCGCGGCGAGCCTCGACGTCGAGCAGGCTCCCCGACCTGGGTCCGAGGAGCGGCTGGAGGACCAGAGCCCCTAGCCCAGAGTAGCCCCTGTATTGCAGCACCTTGACGGACCTCCTCCTCCTCCTCCTCCTCCTCCTCCTCCTCCTCCTGCTCCTCCTCCTCCTCCTCCTCCTCCTCCTCCTCCTCCTCCTCCTCCTCCTCCTCCTCCTCCTCCTCCTCCCCCTCCTCGCTGGAAGACCAGCGCCCATCCTGAGCCCAAAGTGGCCCTTGTTGCAGCACGTTGACGGACAGGGGGGTTCTCCAGCTAGTTCACGTGTAGCTGACTTCTTCGTCGCCGGGAGGCGCCACTGCATCTAAGAAATGGCCACGCGGCGGAGCCGAAGCCAGCTGCACGCAGCAGATGTTGCACCCCTCCTTTCCCTAACCCCCAAGGAGAGGAAGCAGGAGAGTAAGGAGGAGGAGGAGGAGGAGGAGGAGGAGGAGGAGGAGGAGGAGGAGGATTGTGCTAGGATTGTGCTACTTAGGACTTGCGCAGATGGAGAGCACCACGCAGGCCGCCTTCGCCGTGCAAGTTAAGACTTACAAGGGCTTCACAGTGGATGGTTGGCGGCACTCCCACAAACGCGTCAGTCGACCCTTGGCCGTCCGAGCTCGGGCGCTCCTGTAGCCCACCTTCACACGGTTCGTCCACTTACACTGAGCGTGGAAAGCACAACGCCTGCAGAATCAAAAACGGGGCGATTCACGGGGTGGTGTCCTCGCCCCTGTGCCTTTAGAATGCGTGCTTGTCGGGCTTCGAATTCGACAGATTCTGCGCCCGACGGGCCGCACTGAGTCTGGTTTGTGGCCCTGGGAGTGACGGTCCCTGGGGCCACCAAACGGGGAGGGGGAGGCATCAGAGGAGGAGCAGGATTCGACTCGGCGGCCTGACTCGGAACAGTTCCACTGATGCTGCACGCTTCGACATCGGTAATCGTATCGACGACTTCGGACGACATAGCGCCAAGCCAAACAACAGACTCCAGGGCATCTGCTACCATGGTATACTTCTGCTGATACGCCTGACGCTGCCAGCACGGGTGCGTGCACAAACTAGCCCCCTTCTTCGCGTATTCGTCCGCGAAGCGGTAGCCTTTGATCAGTCTCCCGCCAAGCTCTCGCCGCTGGGCTGGAGTGGCGTGAGCCCTACGTTTTATTATCTGGATGGTCCTGGGGCCCAGCCCTCCAAGGTCAAAAACCAGAAAACGAAATTCTCGCCAGGGATCGCTGTGAGCCCTGGCATAGATTTTGAGGGGCGGCCTCCCGCTCCTCAGCACCTGATGGATGGCGTACAGCTCTGACGGGCATGCCCCCTGCCGGCTTTGAGGCAGGGGAAGGGGACCGACAGCTGACAACGCACGTCTCTCCTCCGAGGCATCTGGGGTGGGGAAGCTCCACCCCGCACGCCGAGGGGGGAAAAACTCGCCGTACAGGAGTGATCCATCTGTACAGACCTCTCCCGTGGTGGCTCCTGGATGTTCGCTCTCCTGCGGGACCTCGAACGAGACTGGCAGAACATCCAGGGGTTCTCTATGA